TCCCCAGTAGCTGATTGCCCCCATAGAAGACCGTCTCCATCAAGTCACTGGTTTCCAAAAGTTTTTTTTCTTGAACTTTTGCACACGCCTTGTTGATCTGCAATGAAATATAGATGTATAAAGAGGAGACGTTATATTTTCAATATAAATAAATTCTATTAAAAGTTAAATGAAGAAGTAAAAAGTATCCGTAAATGACAAAATATAAAACTTTTGTCTTGTACATGTACTTACTGATTCCATCTTGTCCCACCAGTCGTCAGGTGCCTGAACAACCCGGTGTCATAGTCCAAGCCTATCCCGGACACTTCCTTGCTTGAATTCCATCAACTTTGTCCACGCTTTTGCCAATCTTTTTCAAGGTCCATGTACTTATTCTTCAACTGTTTTCAGTCCATGTTTTTTTCCCTATTTTTTCTCAAATTTTCCTTGCCAATGACTTGTTAACCCTGCTTGACTGAGGACTAAGAAATGGGCGATTTCCTTCTTAACTAATCTCATTTGGCATATCAACATGAAATTGCATGGCAAATTTCCATCTCGGGTGACGCATAGACTTGGTTCTCTTGCCTTCGTTCTTGCAAACAAACCAACCAATCCTAACTTGCACAGGGCTGATGAGTGAATAAATTATGGAATCTTATTAGTTTCAAGGCGTTGTTAATCGTTCATAGAGTTATAATCCGGTAAATGATGGGTCCTCACACAGGGCGGGGACAGATCAAAGTAGGAACGCCTGGTTTTTGGTGGACCTGGAAATCTTAACAATACAACGGGCCATTCGCACATGGCACACATTCGTCATGGCCATGTACTGGAAGTTTGCAGTAGATGGTGAAACAATCGCCATGCTAACGCTTAATTATAAATTAATTTACATGAATCAACATGAACGATACGAAGAGTATAACGCAAATTTATAAAATTTTAATATGTTTTAATCATCGTTTTAATATATTTGTATATATTTTTTTTTAATATACCAATTTTGTCAAATATATTTGTAATAAACTTTTTAATATATTTACCTTCCTTCCCAAATTTAGTTTGTAATCTATTTTTGACAGTGCTCTTTACTATTTAAATCAAAAATCTAATATTTATTTAATTATATTATTAATATCTTTCTAAATAGTTTAGAATATTATTTGTTTAATAAACTTTTTTTTTAATATATTTGTATATAATTTCATGTTATTTGTAATTTGTTTTGTTAATATTTAGATAATTATATCTACCTTCCTTCCCAATATTATGGTCCAAATCATTATTTATTTTATCTAATTATTTTATTTTTAGAAATGGGAATTGACGCATTCGTATTGAGTAAAAAATATAATGAAATTATAAAATTTATTTTGTAAATGTTTTGATATATTTTTTATGATATTTTGGAAAATGGGTTTTTTGAAATATTTGTACTATATTTTTTTAATATTAAATTTTGTCAATAATAGTGTTTAAATAAATTTTTACACTCTTACTTTTTAATGCCGAATTTGTAATATACATACTTAAAATATTGTTAAGTATCTGTCCTAATTATAGTTTTAATATATTGTTAATGGAACTTTTTTTTTTTTAATATATTTTTGTAATAATAAATTTCATGTATTTTGTAAATTTGCTTGTTTAAATATTGAGATAATATATTGTACCTCCTTCCCAATTTATGTCCAAATATATTTTTAATGTATTATTATATTTTTAGAAATGAGAATTGAGCATTTCAATATTGAGTAACAATATCTGAAATTAAAATAAATCTTATTTTTGTATATATTTCCATTATATTTTTTATATTATTGAAAATGGATTTTTTGAAAAAATATTTGTACTTATCATTTTTAATAATTAAATTTTGTCATATGTGTTTTAATCAATTTTTACACTCTTTACTTTTTAAACTCTAAATTTGTAAATATATAATTTAATATATTATTATATTTTTCTAAATATTTTTTTAATATTTTTTTAAATAAACTATTTTTTTTATATATATTTGTATATAAATTTGTTATATTTTGTAAATTTGTTGTTAATATATGTAGAATTATAATATATGTACTTCCCCTTCCCAAATTTAGTTCCAAATATATTTTTTATCTAATTAATATATTTTTAGAAATGAAGAATTGACATTTCGTCTTGGAGTAAAAATAATCCGCACATAATACATCTAAATTTTGTTATATATTTTCAGCACATATAATTTTTTTTGATATTTTGAAATACTATTTGGTGTGTATATTTATGAATATAGTTTTCATAATTAAATTTGTCATATAATGTTCTAAATAAAATTTTTACAGTATTTACTTTTTAAATCCTAAATTTGTAATATACATTTACAACAATATATTTCTTTTCATATCTTGTTAATATAATTTTTCGTATAATTGCTTAATTGTTGACAATGTTGTTGTTATTTTGTTTTTGTACTAATAAGTTTATATATTTGTAATTTTCGTTGTTAAATATCTAACTATCCTTCCAAATTGAGTTGGAATTCATATCTAATTTGTTATAATACATTTCATTATGATATAGTTTTTCATAATTAAATTTTGTCATATATGTTTAATAAAATTTTTACACTCTTTACTTTTTAACTCTAAATTTGTAATATATATTTTAATATATTATTAATATCTTTCTAATATAGTTTTAATATATTTGTTAATAAACTTTTTTTTTAATATATTTGTAATATAAATTTCATGTATTTTGTAATTTGTTGTTAATATATGTAGATAATATATGTACCTTCCTTCCCAAATTTAGGTCCAAATATATTAAAAAAAAAGTTTATTAACAAATATATTAAAACTATATTAGAAAGATATTAATAATATATTAAATTATATATTACAAATTTAGAGTTAAAAAGTAAAGAGTGTAAAAATTTGATTAAACATATATGACAAAATTTAATTATTAAAAAATGTAGTACAAATATTTTCAAAAATCCATTTTCAAAATATCATAAAAAATATATTCAAAATATATTACAAAATAAATTTATTAATTTCAGTATATTTTTTACTCAATACGAAATGCTCAATTCTCATTTCTAAAAAATAAAATAATTAGATAAAAAATATATTTGGACCTAAATTTGGGAAGGAATGTAGATATATTATCTACATATATTAACAACAAATTACAAAATATTAAAAATTTATATTACAAATATAAAAAAAAAACAGTTTATTAACAAATATATTACAAAAATATTAGAAAGATATTAATAATATATTAAATTATATATTACAAATTTAGAGTTAAAAAGTAAAGAGTGTAAAAATTTGATTAAACATATATGACAAAATTTAATTATTAAAAAATGTAGTACAAATATTTTCAAAAATCCATTTTCAAAATATCATAAAAAATATATTCAAAATATATTACAAAATAAATTTATTAATTTCAGTATATTTTTTACTCAATACGAAATGCTCAATTCTCATTTCTAAAAAATAAAATAATTAGATAAAAAATATATTTGGACCTAAATTTGGGAAGGAAGGTAGATATATTATCTACATATATTAACAACAAATTACAAAATACATGAAATTTATATTACAAATATATTAAAAAAAAAGTTTATTAACAAATATATTAAAACTATATTAGAAAGATATTAATAATATATTAAAATAAATATTAGAATTTTTTATTTAAATAGTAAAGAGTGTCAAAAATAGATTACAAACTAAATTTGGGAAGGAAGGTAAATATATTAAAAAGTTATTACAAATATATGACAAAATTGGGTATATTAAAAAAAATATTACAAATATATTAAAACGATGTTAAAAACATATTCAAATATAAATTTGCGTTACTCTTCGTATCTGTTCATGTTGATTCATGTAAATTTAATTTATATTAAAGCGTAGCATGGCGTTGTTCACCTCTACTGCAACTTCCAGTACATGGCCATGACGAATGTGTGCCTGTGGACATGGCCCGTGTATTGTTAAGATTTCCAGGTCCACCAAAAATCCAGGGCGTTCCTACTTTGTCTGTCCCCGCCCTGTGGTGAGTGACCCAATCTTTACCGGTTATAACTCTATGAACATTAACAACCCATGAAACTAATAGTTCCATAATTTTCACTCATCAGCCCTGTGCAAGTTGGATTGGTTGGTGTGAAGAACGAAGGCAAGAGAACCAAGGCTATGCGTCACCCGGAGATGAAATTGCCATGCAATTTTCATGTTGATTGCAAATGAGATTAGTAAAGGAAATCGCCCATTCTTAGTCCTCAGTCAAGCAGGGTACAAGTCATTGGCAAGGAAATTTGAGAAAAAAATAGGAAAAAAACATGGACTGAAACAGTTGAAGAATAAGTACATGACCTTGAAAAAAGAGTGGCAAGCGTGGACAAAGTTGATGGATTCAAGCAAGGGAGTGTCCGGGATAGGCTTTGACTATGACACCGGTTTGTTTCAGGCACCTGACGAGTGGTGGGACAAGATGGAATCAGTAAGTACATGTACAAACAAGTTTTATATTTGTCATTTACGGATACATTTTTTACTTCTTCATTTAACTTTAATAGAATTTATTTATATGAAATATAACGTCTGCCTCTTTCATACATCTATATTTCTGCAGATCAACAAGGCGTGTGCAAAGTTCAAGAAAAAAACTTTGGAACACCGTGACTTGATGGAGACGGTCTTCATGGGGGCATCAGCTACTGGGAAGCATCATTGGACCCCGAGAGAGAACCTTCCCGAACCTGCTGAGGACTCATCTGATTCAGTGCGTAGTTTGGGAGCCCAGCCATTTGCTGATCCGATACCCGCAGGAGTACAGGACGTGGATTCTGATACTTCACTGGAGCATGTTCCGATTAAAAAGGCAAAAAGGAGAAAGACGCCATCAACAAGTGTTTCAAAGTCGAAGAAGGGAACAAGTGGTGCGTCCGTTATTGCGGAAAGCATGAACAAAATGACAGATGTGGTGCGTTCAAAGAATCAGCAGGTCACGGTGAGGCACCTCACAGGCAACGAATCGCTGTACACTATTTCCGAGTGCATGCATAAACTGAGCAGTATTCCATCCCTAATTGGTACACTGTTATTCCACTTCGCCTCCACACTTATGGATAACGCCGATTACCGGGAGGTCATGATGTGCCAGCCTGATGATGACCACATCATTGAATGGCTTACACAGAAGCAGCTCCAGTGTACTGCGCCGGCGCCTTTTGCAAACCTGTTTGGGGGTCGCCGGATGTGATGTAGCGGTGTTACGAGTGTTGAAGATGCATGTCCTTCTCTTCCTTTTTTAAACTTTGACTTATGGTATTGTTGGCACTGTACTAAAACAGGATGGTGGTGTGTGCATGTTTTCATTATGTCGTTTTTGTTTTTTTATTACTAGCTACGGGCAGCAACAAGTTTTAGGTAAGTGCATGGGTTGACGGAACGAAAGCATGGTTGTGCTTCATTTTTGGGAAATGAATGGGATGTTTATGTTATAATATTTTTTGTGGGTACGTTTAAGACAAGGAATTACGTTTTACTTGCACGCTTTTGAATGCCTATATGTCACAAGTTCATTTGTTAGTTTAGTTTGCTGGCTAGTTTTGTGGTTGTTACCACCATGGCCCCCCTGTAAAGCATAAGTTGAACAGCTTCTTTTTTTTGTGCAATTCATATGATCATGCGTTCCAAATGACATTGGTGACGACATTACTTTGATTAAAAACAATGTCGGCATTTTCTAATTGCAAACTTCAATAAAATTTAAGTAAATGAATCACGTGCCAACTGATTAAAAGGCTGTCACTCTTGTAGGTTTCGCATCAACAAAGACGCGATGAATCCCTGGGATGGAAGCAACCATGATGAAATAACGGAAATGCTTAATCAAATGGCGGTCCAGGTGCAACAAGAACAGAACTACACATTTCTACAAGCATGCCAGTTGGCGACAGAATGGTACGAAAAACACATGAATAAAACGCCGTGTCGCACTTCTATACTAACCGGGAATACATGGATATGCGAACTATATGCGGGGCATATGGGTCGATTTGAGGAAAATGTTTGCATGCCGAAGGAAGTTTTTGCCGCATTGTGTGAGACATTAGTCAATGATTTTGGGTTACAAGTCCCGCAACGTCCCCATGGCTTAGCTGTTGAAGATAGCGTTGCGATGTTTATCCATGTGTTGAAAGAGAAGCAAAATCGGGAAATCCAAGAACGGTTCCAACATTCCGGGGAGACTGTGTCGAGGCACATGCATAACGTATTAACTTCCATGAAAGAGTTCACTGTTGTTCATTGCCAGCCCATATACAGTTAGCATCGTATACATCCATACGTGCGGTCTAGACAGAAATACCTACCGTTCAAGGTACTTCTGAAAAACATGATTGACATATAAATGAAGACAATATATTTTGTTTTTGTTATTATCTGCACGTGACGCTTTTATAAAAACAAAACACTTGTTACCCACTTACGCAACAAAACAATTTATCCATGTTTGCAGGACTGCATTGGCGCAATAGACGGAACACATGTCAGTGCATAGGTTACGGGGCCAGATGCGACAACATATTTCGGTAGGAAATACTGTCACACGCAAAATATAATGGCCGCTGTCGATTTTGACATGTGTTTCATATTCATTTCCTGCGGATGGGAAGAAAGTATGCATGATAGTCGCATATTCAACGAGATACTAACAAATGACAATGTCGCCTTCCCACATCCTGACGAAGGTAACACATGGTCCTGTTATTAGATTTATTAACAAATAAATTTTTCCTGAGAAAGCTTTATATGAAAATGATGCTGAATGTTCGTTTTGGTGTCATACATTGTTGTCATGTCTGCAGGCAAATATTATCTTGTCAATTCTGGCTATCCAAACCGGATTGGTTACTTAGCACCATTCAAAGGCCACCGTTACCACCAACAAGAATTCCGACGTATTGCACGGAACGCGATGGCAAACACACCAAGGGAATTATTTAACAAAGTGCACTCGTCCTTACGCAGTGTGGTGGAACGCACTTTCGGTGCCTGGAAAAATCGATGGGGGTTTATTCGAGACATGCCTCGGTATGACTTTGCAAATGTGCAAGTTCAGTTAGTAGGTGCGTCAATGGCATTACATAATTATATACGGTGAAACACAGGTAACCCAACAACTGTTCAGCCAATCTGTGACGAGGAAGAGGCAATGACAATAGTAAATGCCATACCAGAAGTTGAACATGACGAGGATGGTTTAATGGTTGGAGATGAGGACCCCCATATGGCATTGGTCCGCCTTCACATACGCGACAAATTATATTACATGCATAATAACGGAATGTTAGGAAATATATAGTAGTTGAAATAATTTTCGTATGGTTGTCACATAATGACACACGTGGAACAGACTGTATTCAAATATATTATCATGTACAATATGTATGAGTTTCCACGGGAATGTAACCCCTTCCAATTGCTGACGTGCCTAACTTTGGAAAACAACAATCCATACGAATTTTGCTTGTGGAAAAACAAAAAAAGGTGAAACAAATAAAAACAAATGAAAAAGAAAACTAATACACAAATTGTCAAAGAAATAAAAAATTAACGCAATATCCGCCTAATCCAAACTCAAAAAAAAAAAAAAACAAATAAAAAAAAATTTGGATTTGCAAAATTTGGCAGATCGAAACCCAACATACAAAAATTGTCAACAAAAAAAATTAAGCAAAAAATGCCAAAGCAAACCCCCCCCCAAAAAAAAAAACGCAAAAAACGCAAAATCGAAACCCAACATGAAAAAATTAAAATAAAAAAAGAAGAACCAAAATATGGCAAATCCAAACCCAAAATAAAAAAAATAAAAAATTTAAGCAAAATTCGGCAGATCGAAACCCAACATAAAAAAAAAAAAAAAATTAAGCAAATTATGCCAAATCCAAACCCAAAAAAAAGAATCAATTAATTTCACCAAATGAATTATCTTATCAAATTAATCAAATTATAATGACCAACAGTAATATGACTAAATAAAACAACAATTATAGAGCATATACTGTGTATTAAAGAAAAATTAATTGTGTACAGAAATTTATTTTTATCTAAATACAGTACAATATGTCTGGTTAACAACAAAACTAATCATCCTCCAAGAAACCAAATAAATGAATAACCAAATACAGTAGCACTACCAAAATTTTTAAAAAAAAAAAAAAAAACCAGAAAATATGCCATATCCAAACCCAAATTAAGAAATAAAAAAAATGGAAAAGGGCAATTTCATAATTTAACAAGATGACACCTCACCAAAAAGCCAAAAAGCCAAAAAACCAAAAAGCCCTTCCCAAACCAGGCTTTTTAGCCTCAGGCTAAAATAGCCAAAATGCCAACCCACTTCCCAAACGGAGGCTAAACAACCTTCAATTTCACAAATCTTGCAGAATACAAATGGCCACATAGAAATAGCCCTCAAACCATTAAAACAATCTTCAATTCATTGCCTTTATTGGTAAATTTTTGTATGGGCATGAATTTTTTGTATTTTTTTTTTTTGAACTAGTATGGGCATGAATTAACTCCCTATAATTAACAGCTCTTTCTCAGCTTCATTGCAAACCTAATAAATTCCAAGGCAATGCTCTATCAACATTCCTTGAAAAGAAAAGAAGTGAGAATTGTGGCCTTGTATCCCGCAAGATTTCAAGCAATTCAAATTTGCCAACATAAGGAAGTAGATGATATGTCCTTAGATTAAATTAAATTAGGGTTAGGGTTTTGAAACTTTGAAGGGTTTTATTCGTTATTCTTCACATTTCAATCTTTATTCTTCCATATTGAGAGAGTTTATAAACTAAGTTTAGATACAAAATCAGAAATCAAAAATCCATTGGATATGGAGATACAAAACCATAGATGAAAATTTTGAATGGCTTTAAAATTATTTGGTAATACTAATTCAAAATCAGATTGTATACCTTGAATTATGGTGCAACAATTGAATACAGATTCTAGGAACCCTTGACCCCAAAAAAATAAAAAATAAAAATAATAATAATTGAAAATCAAAAGAAATACAAAGCAGATAGACAAAGTAGATGGGGAGTGAGATACAGAGAAAGAGCAGACAAACCTACCGAGCCAGAATGAAACGGCGATGGTAACAGCAATGGCAAACAGCAGAAACTCGACGGTCGACAAATGTCTTTGCAAACGTGTGATTGTGAGAGAGAGAGAACTACAAATCATAAGAGAACAGCTATGCAAGGGTGAAAATCATTAAGAGAGATGAGGGGTTTTACCTACTAGCAAATAAAGAGAGGTGTGGGTGTTAGATTTTTGACCACACAACCAAACAGGGAACTCAGCTGGAGAATACTGTCAGAATAGATTAAGCCCAACAACTTGTACAAAAAAATAAGAATCTGGCGGTGGTTCGTCTACCTGAGGGCACTTTGACGATCAAGTCAATAATCTCTTATAGATATCAATTCAAGTATTTAACTCACAACTCACTGCTCACAGTATATCACACATACTTGAGACCCAAGGGGTGCCCTGCTTTTATAACCAACAGTGACCTGATCTCTTTAGAAGCCTCACTTCAGTGAACTCAGGCTCAATGCTCATCTTGGACCCTCATCTAGATAGAGATAAACTTTGCTTGAGCCTTATCTTTAACTAGACTGAGATCCTCCACTATTCTAGGACTCGTGTCCCTTATTTGCTTATCTCGGGTTCTGGTATCTTCGCAGATAATTTCGGCCTAGCCGAGATCACTTCGGTAGCACGACCAGGCCATGTGGCACCTCGGTTGACACTCCGGCATCACCTTAGCCGTGTGCTGTCTTTCACAAAATACTCTCCCACAATTGCCCCCTAGGTTCTATTACCTTGGCAACCTGAGGTGATGGAACTTACATCGTTTGTCCACACTTCATGTCGGCTAAAAATTCATTTTTCTCTTTGACCGAGATCATTACTCGTTAGCTTCATATAACCAAGACTCAGCTGTCCACCTTCCTAAGGATCAAAAACCAAGAATCCAGTTCTTTAAGCATCTCAACCTAGATCGCTCCTCTAGCCGAGGTTATGGCCTCATTGTTTCAAGAATTTCAAGAGTTCTAACTGCGCATGAGTTGTCACGCACAGTCTTTCCAACTGTTTCGTCCACGTGTCCCTTCCCCACTGGTTCGTACCTGACATGCACTAGCAGGTCGCGTCATTTATGTCTGCGCCTCCTGACAGGCACGCCGTCCAAGGCATTTCATCATATTTTTGCCGCCTTTTCATATTTGTGACAAAAACCCTTCTGTCTTTCTTCGTCTCTTCACTTCTCATTTCTGGCACTCTTTCTGTGTTTAGACTTTCTCTCTCGAAAGTTTCCAACCCTCCATTTTCAAGCTCTCAATCTCTACAACTACTCCATTCATCACCATCGACGCACGTTTCATCATTTGACTCCGACTGTTCGAGTTCTCTAACTCTGACATACCTTATTCCGGCATCCTCATTCTTATTCAATAAGTCTATAATTTCTTTCTCTATAATTTTAGTCTTCCCCTGTTTTTGGTTACCATTTCTCATGTTTTAGACATTACAAATTGATTCCTGCTCTTGAATATGTGTTACACTGTACTGATGTATTCTTGAATGGCTTGCACTATTTTTGTCGTACTGCCTTTACATTGTGTCTGTTTAAATGTTTCATGTGTTGCTATTGAATCCGTACCTCTATTTGGATCTTGAATCCCTGCTTCTTGCTTTTGATTATGTTTTTGACTGCGTATCAAAAGTGTCGATTATTGCACACTTGCACACACTTATTCAATGTCCACGACTTTTGCTGTTCTGTGTATGCAAATCTGGTTTCTTGTTCTCTGACTCTTTCTTGATTCTGAATTACATTCCTCTTTTTACTAGAAATCACATACCTAGGCAAATCGAAACACAATCTCCTCCAGGCAACAAAATCCTCACCCTAGTACTATTTAGGTTCTAGCCGAGGTCCTTAAGTTTTTACCCAACTTCTTTTAACAAATATGTTACCAAACCCTTCCTTGCCAAGATAATGGGCATGTTCAAGTGAAAAGTAGGCACCCTTACCAAATTAGAGTACTTTCGGCAAGAGTTCTCCATCTCAGTCGACGTTCAAATTAGGTTGGCTGGGAAAGAGGACTCTATCATGCCTGATGGAGACTCCATACCCTTCCCTATAGTTGGGTTCATTGAATGTGGACATCGATTTCCCTTACACATTCTTTTCCAAGAAGTCATCCACTACTACAAACTTAACCCCATACAATTAGCCATTAACTCATATAGGGTTATAAATGGCACAATCAAACTGGCATGCCGAGAAAAAGCTAGGATTACTCTAGCCGATATTCAGTGTTGTTACACCATGTGTGGCTTTAAGTTTGACAAAGGTTACATATACTGCCTTAAGCCCAGATCCACCGCCTTCAAACTTATAGCCAACCTTTTAGACTCTAACAAGGGTGCTGGGGATGACTACTTGATCGTCTTAAGCAACTGGGAGTTTGCGCCTGATGACGATCTTCATCTCTTTCCTCTATACCGAGTAGTGTTTAGAGAGGATGAGGGTAAGAAATGAGTCATCCCATAGCTCTATCTTTGTTAAGACTTTGACAATTCATTTCTCTTGTCTGTGCTAATGTTTGTTGTTTGCTCTTGTAGTTCTTTCTCAACCAGCAAAGGGATTTCGGTAGTCCTACATTCCCAGCTGAGATCTAAAGAAGCTCTTGGATCTCCCAATACAAAGATGCAAGGCCCCATTGTTGCTTAACTACATTTCGACATATAAGTCATCCCTACCTGACGTTCCAAAGCGAAGCAAGACTCCTCTCCACAACTCCATCAACCACTTCATTACCAAGGCCAAACCAAGCCTCCACCTTAGATCCAGTAGAGCAGCCATCCACTTCTGCTCCCCAGTTGATTCCCCATTCTCAGCGTCGTCGTCGACACTGAGCTCCTCCAAGCGCTCCTGCCGGCAGAACTCATAGCCACAAATGCTGAGATTCTAAGGCATCAGCTTACGATCCATCAAACCCTTCCATTGCCTTTCCTGCGATCCACTTTGGAACCAGGTTTATTGTCGTTGCAACTGTCGATGAGATGGGCTGCAGTTAAGCCGTTGTTGAAGACCTCATGGCCGACTTGCTAAGAGTTGTTTTAGTTCACTCTTCTTCATCCCAGTCTCAACCTAAGCCCAAGCCAAAGCCAAAAAGGGTGTAGAGGGCAAAGGCAAAAGCCTCTGCCACCCAAGTTGATTCTGAAGACACTGTGCTGATCTCCGAA